TTGTATATTCCTGGATAGAGCTGGAACCCATTCTACTAAGTGCAGTATCTCAAGAATGGAAAAACAAGCACCACATGTACTCACCAGCAAATTGGTATTAACAGATCAACACCTAAGTGGACATATAGGAATAACATTTATTGGGTGTCAGGCAGGTGGGAGGGGGGAGGAGGGGATGGATATATACAAACACAATGAGTAAGATGTGCAACGTTTGGGGGATGGACACGCTTGAAGCTCTGACTTGAGGGGGGGAGGGTGGGTATGGGCAATATACATAACCTTAACACTTATACCCCCATAATATGCTAAAATAAAAAAAAATAAAAGAAGTTTCCAAACATACCTCTCTCTGATTTCTAATTAGTAGAGAATTATCTTTGATGATAGTTACATATTCACTCTATTCCTGAGCCTTCCTTATCAGTTCAGTACTTTATTTTCACTAAATAGTTTTCGGCTTTCTATTAAAAAGTTAGATTTTAAAGGACTCAAACATTTATTTTTTCTTTTGTCATGTATGTAAAGTGTGCGTGCATGTATGTCCACATGCACACTATCTTCATAATCAATTGAATATGTACATGTTCTTTATCATAATATTTTTAATTATAAAATTCACATACTTCTGATAGAAAGCAAATAAAAAATTACCCATTATTCCATAATCCAGAGTATTAAAATTACATTGTAGACTTTCCCAATATGTTTTATATATACACATTTTTAACTTAATTTTTAAATTTTTACCAAAAAAGTGATATTATACATATTTTATTAGCCTCCTCGCAGTATATCATAATATTTTCACATATCAAAAAATATTCTTCCACAAAATGATTTTAAAGGAATCATAGTAATAAGGGTGTTTTTAAGTAGGTGCATAGTATTCACCTTATGTCTACCTTACAGGTAAAGCAACAGAAAAATCCTAAACAACAAAAAGTATATTGAGCTTTTCATTCATTTTTACATATCAAAGCAATTTTTGTCAAATGCCTACTATTTGTCTCTTACTAGGAAAACAAAGATAATGAGTTTTAAACACCACATGTTCTCACTAATAAGTGTGAGCTAAACAATGGGTTCACATGGTCATAAAGTGGAGTAAAGGACATTGGAAACTAAGAAGGGGGGAGGGAGGGAGGGAGGATGAGGGATAAAAACTTGCCTATCAAGTACAATGTACACAATTCTGGTGACAGGAACACTAAAAGCCCTGACTTCAACATTATACAATTCATTCATGTAATAAAAACACTTGTCCCCCCTAATATTTTGCAACAAAAATTACAAAACAAAGCAAAACAAAACAAATAAAATGAGTTTCTTGAGCAGTTGTTAAGATAAGTCAGTCAAGCATTGTTTACTGTGTGCAGGGTAGTATGACTGAGATGGGCTTACGTGGTACAGGAGGGCAGAGAAGGGCCACTAAGTAAAAATGAGAGTCACCTGTTAAGTGACACTAAAATTTTGAAGGACAAGATGGGGGGATCGCAGGGAGAAACAACGTAAGGAAAAGGATGAAAGGGGGGCCTAGAAAAGTCAAGCAGTAATTTACAAACTATCATGATCATAAAAATCAGTAGAAACATAAGCTCCACTCCTAGAGATTCCAATTCAATAAGTTTAGGGTCAGGCCAATAATCTGCATGTTTAATAATGTCCCAAGGAATTCTTATATTCAGGGAAGTAATCTTCCCTGGTTAAGGCCAAGAGTTCAAGGCCAGCCTGAACACGAGTGAGACAACATTTCTACCCAAAATAGAAAAATTAGCCCAGTGTGCTGGTCTGTACCTGTAGTCCCAGCTACTCAGGAAGCTGAAGAAGGAGGACTGCTTGAGCCCAGGAGTTTGAGGTTGCAGTGAGCTATAATGACGCCACTGTACTCTAGCCCAGGCAACAGAATGAGACTCTGTCTCAAAATAATAATAATAATAATAATTTAGGAAGTAAGTGCTACAGGAGTTAGTGATTGATTAGGTATAAGTAAAAACAAGGTAATTAGGTATACCTATTAGGTATAAGTAAATTAGGTATAAGTAAAAACATTCAGTACCCAATCTGCTTTCCTGAAGACTCCCAGGAAAGCAGATTGGGTACTGAATAAGAGATATGCCATTCATGAAAATATGTCATTCATGTAGAAGAGCAGGTTTGAAAGAGGAAGTTCATTTTTAGATACACTGAATTTTATTGGAAATTTAAGTGTAGACTTCAGTCTCAAACTCAAAAGAAAGGTTTGGTAGGAAGTATAGTTTGTGATATAAGAGCATTGGAAGTTAAAGCCATTCATCTGAAAAGAGAAGAATCTTAGAGCAATAAGGAAGAAAACATTTAATGTTCAAGCAGAAAAAAGAAACCTACAATGGAGACTAAAAAACAGTGTCAATTTTTTTTTAAAGGATAGAATACTATCACAGAAAACAAGGGAAAAGGACTCAGGAAGGAGAAAATGTTCGACCGTGTTCACTGCTATAGAAAAATCAACATAAGGGCAAAACCATGTTTCCTGAACTGTGTCATACGAAAGTCGATGATGAAAGTGTCAAGAGCATCTTCTCTATACATGTGGGGTTGGCCACCAGTCAAACGCTTCCTTTCTAGGAGCTGAACCTGGAGTGGTGACACACAGGGAGGGAAGGTAGTTGAACCTGAGTTTGTAAATGTGCATCGCCATGAATATCCACAGTTTCGTTTTCAATGATCCTGTGGTTTCTGTCCTCAGGAGGCCTGATTGTTTAGCATTTTCTTCCATGCTATGAGTTACCCCCAGGATCTTTCCAATGAATACCATTTATTTCCCTAAATTGTTCTCAGTTGGTTTCTTTGGCTTATAATTAGAGACCTAAAACCGACAAAGTAGTTTTGTTTTTGTTTTCATTTTTGATAAGACAAACCATTGTTTTGTTTATTTTCTAAAGTAAAAGAGGAAAGGGGGAGATGATTGATAATAATAAAGTCATTGAGAACACCAAAGGGGATCAAATCCAATCTACAGGTTGAGAAATGAGCCTTGAGCTTGAGGCTTTCCATTAAGAAGGGGAAGCACAAATGCCAATAAATAAGCGTATAGGGAATGGGGAGAGTAAGGTGCAGTTCTCACTTGCTGCCCTTGGCTTTTCCTTAGAGAAAGGGGCAGAATCATCATCTGCTGAGTGTAACAAGTGTTGGCGGTGGGAAGAGGCTTTGAGTGCGGAGGAAAATCTTTGGAAAGGCCACTGTCAGTTGATGAGAAGTACATTGACTATAACTGAAGGCTCAGAAAGCAGCAACATACAATGACATCAGCTGGCACAGCTGTATGATTTTTCTCCAGGAATTCTCAGCTGCTCCGTTCCAGGATCAGAGAAGCAGGACAACTAGATTAATATTTGGAAGTAACACTGAAAGCATGATTTAACTACTAGACATCAGTGTCTAGGGCTGGACAAGAAAAATAGGTAGACAGAAGGAGATTGATTGATTAGGAGAACAGGGAGGATTCAAAGCTTGTGGGGTCATAAGGTCAAAGAGCAAGCACAGTTCAAGTAAGGACAAGAAAGTTGCCAAAAACAAATGGTAGAGAAAAGCAAATGTCTTGCCTACTTATACATGAAGCCTGAATCTGAGTCTCTCTATAGATGGAGGATTCACTTCTATCTATCTTCAGACTGCTCTGCTCTGTCAGTCTTTTTTAGGGTTCCTAATCTGTTTTTCCGTGACTTTCACCCACAACCTGGATGACCACTTGGTGGAGCTCTTGCAAAGAGAATGTCAGCCTGTCCGTCGGTTGAATATTAAGATCCTCTGAAAAACTGAGATTCTATGAAATAATGCAGTTTACTTTAACCTAGTCCCGTAAGTGGTGGATTTATTGAGAAATAGTTTTGTTTTGGTTTTTTGTTTTTTCATTTTTGTGAGATACCCTTTCCCTATTGCTTCCAATAGAACGACAGCTGACTTCCGGTACGCTGAGCAACCAAGATTTTGGAAGGTTTTTTGGTCTTAATGCAACAATTACTGTTCCCTCTGTTACTAGCCTAATTCCTAATTCTTTCTTACTAGTCCTTCACTGGCAGCAGAACTATCTTTAAGAGAGGAGCAGAAAAATAAACCATAATTAAAATATTGCTCTTTTAGGTCTAGCCTGTTAATAATACCTTTAATCCATTTTACCTCACAGGTTTAAAAAAATTCTGTCTATTGCTTAGAGCCACCCCTCTTTCCTGCAGACCATGAAACAATGATCTGTTGCATAAATTGCCACCTACCTTTTATTCTGAAGCAGCCATGTATTAAAACTGTAAGGCCAGTAATTACAGTGATGAAAGTGGCATGATCTGCCGTGACTTCCTGTTCAGTTCTACTTCGAAAGAGTCTTAGCTGGTTACCTCACTTGGATAGTGTGGACTGTTGCAGTGCCATATCTATTTATTCTCCTACTCTTGGGATAGTCCCCAAAAGAGTGAGTTTATCACTGCAAGTGGCTAAATTGCTACATATTCATCTCTGTGACTGGCCACACAACTCAAACCACAAGGTTTCATTACATGGCTTTGTCATTTCATCCTGGTTTCTGACCAAGAGTACCCACTTTCTAATGTAGTATGAGAAAATCAAGAAAAGGTAGTTAGATTAATTACTTCACAGCAAAATACTGTCTTGGGCATCAGGAAGACTGGCAAGTGCTTCCAGTTCCATTTCAAGTCATAGATCAAATTTTAAAACTTCCATAAACAGTTCCCTCTTCCTTTAATTAAGGGATGTAGCGATTACCTTTAGCTATCATAGAATCAAATAGAAATCTGAGATAATGAGATCGTATGATTTTGACATGTTTTTAGGTAACAGAAAAATAAGCCTCAATATTGTGTAATCAGTTTCTTCTTCTCTACTCTTATACTTATGCAGGTATGTGTCTTGCATTCTTTCCACACTGATAGTGTTATATTATATTGTGTCACATCCCCCTTAAGATAGTAAGACTAGATTGCAAGATCTGGAACAAACTTTTGCCCTTGGATTGTTGACAAGTATTGCAATTTAATTAAGTTGATATTTCAAGCATAAACTCCCAGGGCTGGAAGGGACTGCAGAGAATCTTTCATCCAACCTTCTGCCCAGTACAAGAAGTCTCTCCACAGCACACCTAACAAGTTGCTTTTCCAGTGTTCTTTGATTTCATCATCATCCTCAATTATTTACTGGGTGCTTAATCATGGTTCCGCTTTCTTCTAGGAAACAAAATAATAGAGTCAGCTTTTTTGAAACTAAGGAGGAATAAATAATAACCACATCTTTTATCAGTTTTAGTTTCTTTCCAAAAGGGGAATGAGTTGTCTATCAGAGAGAAATGAGCAAGGACAAAGAGAAAATCATCAGTGGAAATAAAAAGGAAAGTTGAAGGGCAGGATGGTGAGAAAGATGAGGAAGAGATGTATACAGTTGAGCAGAGCAATCACTTTCACTAACCCCCTTTCATTCTCTGTGATTACAGATTGGAAGGCACAGCGCTGGTAGCAGAGGTGGGCAGGGGAAAAAAAAACGTGGAGTAAAGTGTCAATGGCGTAATTGGAGACTAGAGTGATATTAATGTAGAAAAGGGTGTGTCTTTGGGGGGTAAGAAGGAAGGTCTAGTTAGGTCAGCACCTAAGAAAGATGCATCACTCTATTTGTACTTTTGTATTTTAATTTGTCACTCCGCCCACTAATTCTATTAACATGTTCTCACTTATGAGTAGGAGCTAAACCAAGGCTATGTGAGGACACATAGAGTGGCATAATGGACACTGGAGAATTAAAAGCGGAGAGAGTAAGAGATGGAAAATTCTCTATTGGGTATAATATATGTTATTCTGGTGATGAGTACACTAAAAGCCCAGACTTTACCGCTATACACTATACATATAATGGAATTCAGCTTGTACTCCCTAAATCTGTTAAAAGAAGAAGAAAGAAAGTGTGCACCCAAGGGATGGAAGAGGGGAGCATTTATCAACTGGAGTCTGCCCTTGATTGGTCACAATTTGCCCCAACAGCATTAACTCTCTCATACACAACGTGTGGGGCAGATCTTTTTCCTTCCACAGGCATCCCAGCTGCCTCATAGAGTTATCAATGGGGCAGAAATCAAGAAATGCTCAGTGCAGGTGAGGAGATATATAAGTTTTCATCTAGCTGAGGATGGTTGCCGCAGTGATGGCTTGAGTAAAAGGAGATCCAAGAGGCTATGAGTTAGGGCGCTCCAGTTGCCTATACGATAATTAACCATTGTAATTTTTTTTTAATTATTTATTTATTTTTTTAAAAAACATTTATTTTTTAAAAAAAAAAAAAAAACCTTGAGCTTTTTTATTTTCTAGAAAAATAGTAACTTTATAATGGAGACACCTGGCAGATATCACCAATAATGGGACAAACAGATATCATGTACCTCCTAAGGTGATGTACTGAGAAGGAAACAGTACTATTCTTACATAGTATTCTGCCAATGCATAACCTGGATCAAATCCTAAGGAAACGTCAGACAAACACAAATTAAGGTTCTTTTTACAAAATAGATACCCTGGACTCAAAAAATATCAATATCATGAAATAAAAAGGGTGAGGGACACTTTCAGATTAAAGGAGACTAAAGAGATATAAAAGTACAATGCATGGTCTTGTTCAGTTCTGAACCAGAAAAAGAGAGTCATAATTTATAAAAGACATGATTAGAAAAATGTGCAAACTTTTCATAGGTATGTTGATTAAAGTGTTGTATTAATGATAAATTTTCTGATTTTGATCATTTCACTATAGTATGTAAGTGAATATTCTTGTTTTCAGGAAGTACACACTTATGTATTGAGGGTAAAGGAGCATGATGCGTGCAACTCACTTTCAAATGGTCCTCTATTTGGGGGCAGAGAGAGAAACCAAATGTGGTAAAATGTTAAGAATGGGTGAATCTGGGTGAAGTATATGGTTTTCTTTGTACTATTCTTGCAACTTTTCTGTAAATTTGAAACTATTTCAAAATCAAAAGTTAAGGAAAAAAAAAAAAGCTCCGGATCAAATGGAATTACACTGAAGGTTCAAAAGACCTGAGCTTTAGTCCAAAGTCCTTGATGCTTATTAAGTTTCTGTTTCCTCTTCTAGAAGGCTTATAGAATTGTTGTAAGAACTAAACATGCAAAAGAGGTTTGAAAAGTTCAAAATAACATACACGTTGTAGTACTGTTAGAAACGAGAGTCTGACATTTGAAGATGGCTTAATAAATGAGGTGTCAGATCATGCATCATCTAAGCAGTGACAGACATACCTAGAGAAATACAGGAATGTGTAGGTTAACAACTTAAAATTAAAATTAGGGAACATTTTAAGTCATTTTCAGCTTCCCAACTCCCTATCCCAAATTGGTTCCCTTTAACAGGTTTTTATTATCTACTATATACTAGACAATGTGAATATTGCAAGAATTGAAAGGATAAGTGTTTCATATATCCTTAAGGAATTCAGAGCCTATCAGGGGATAAAACTACAAAAATAAAAATCAATAATATGATGTGTTAAGAGATGACTACAAGAGCCAGGTGTGCTGGCTCACATCTGTAATCCCAACACTCTAGGAGGCGGCAGTGAGAGGATTGCTTGAGGTCAGGAGTTCAAGACCAGCCTGAGCAAGAGCAAGACTTCATCTCTACTAAAAATAGAAATAATTAGCCAAGCGTGGTGGAGCACGCCTGTAGTCCCAGCTACTCTGGAGATCCAGAGGCTGAAGCAAGAGGATAGTTTAAGCCCAGGAGTTTGAAGTTGCTATGATGATACCACTGCACTTCTAGCCTGGGCAACAGAGTGAGACCCTTTTGTGTGTATATATATATATATAAAAAAGACAGATTGTGGGAACAAGAAATTAATTTTAAAAGAGAAAAAAAGAAGTGGCTACAGTTTCTAACAGGAAGTATTATTTGAATTGAGCCTTGATGAATGAGAAGATCACTTAGAAATAGGAAAAGAGCATTTTAGGCAAAGAGAACAGCTGAGGAAGGTATGAAAGTACCTCCTATGTTTGGTATCTTGGTGATTCTTTGTCTCCTGTGGGACAACCCCCTCCCACATTACCTTTTCTAATTTAGCACCCATGATGCCATGACGATCCTCTCCATTTTTTTTTCTTTTCTGTCACCAACTTTTAAAAAAAAATTTTTTTTTAAGAGACAGGGTCTCTCTCTGTTTCTCAGGCTAGAGTGTAGTGGCACACTTACTATAGCCACTTATCACAGCTTACTTTGGCCTCAAATTCCTGGGCTCAAGCCGTCTTCCTGCCTCAGCCTCCTGAGTAGCTGGGACTACAGTGTCACACCACCATGCTTGGATAGTTTTTAAATTTTTTGTAGCAACGAGTTCTCACTATGTTGCCCACACTAGTCTCCAACTCCTGGCCTCAAGCTGCCTCTGCCTCCCAAAGTTCTAGGATTACAGGCATAATCTACTGCACCTAGCCAACTTTGAAATTTTAAAGTATATTAAAATACTGGGCAATCCACCACAGTCATGAAGAATGAATAGAACCTCCTGATAAGTGTTTTTGTTTTGTTTTGTTTTTCGTTTTTAAGCTTGATCAATTTTTTTCAAATCTGATTCTGGAGCCTGAGAAGGTTATGAAGTTTTTTTTAAAATAAAAAAAGAAGCAAACATCTGTATACCACGCAGTCCTCTACTTTGCCTTGGGATTTGTATTATTTCATAGAAAATTTTGATTAATGGTGCAAATTAGTCCAATTACTGAATCAGACTAAAGTTCTCAGAAGTGTTGCCAATGGATACACAAAGCAGTGGAAAGGTCAGAATCTTCAAAAAGCCACTAAAAACTATTTTTGGTACCCATAGGATGATTTGGTTAGTATCAAAACCAGTAAGATATACCTTAATTTAAGACATAAGTGAAAGACACCTCTGTGGTTAATAAATTTCACTTGCAGTACGGGACTAGAAGCCGCCAGCAGATACACTCCACTGCTTCTACGGATAGGTAAAAGTGCTGTTTCGGTTTTGATTTTGCTCTCTTTCTTTGAAATGATTCTAGCTTCTGCTTTTGAACAAACAGTTACAGTTTCTGATCCCCGTTTTACTGTCATTGAAGACCAAATAGAGAACTTGTTTTTGAGACAGGAAATGCTGGTAAAACTTCTAACTCTGTTAGCACTTTCTAAGCAAATTTAGGCACACTGCTTCTATCTTCTGTGTTAGGAGATCTTCACCTCTACAAGATGCCCTTTGGAATCTGGAAGCTAGAATAATCCAGACCCTGGCATCAACAGTCTAATCTTCTCATTTCACACATGAAAAACAAATCATAGTGCTGCTGACTTATTAAGCTGGTACAAAGACTTATACGAGTCAATCTCTCAAAAGTGATCTAATTACCTTAGAGCACTATAAAATCATAGACTTGTTGTGCTACAATAAGTCTTTTATTATACACAGTAGCAAATTCTTCCATATCTTCTGCTCTTTTTACCAAAGCAATGTATATGAGTAAGATCTTTCTCTACTCTGTTAGTTTAAGCCATTTCTGGCTCTTCTGGAATATTCTATCCCTCTCACAGCTGCCTTTGATGTGCACTGTAAATGTACTCTGTCTATAATTAAAATAATAGCAGCTGGCAAACAGGAGAAGCAGCAAGGAGATTTCTCAAAATATGGGATTCTCAGATTCCATCCTCAGGATGGATTCTGAAATCCTCAGAGAATTTCAGAAATTCTCCAGAGGTAGCTTTGCTAACACACAGCCACTTGTAGACCCATATTGTTTTTTCTCCCTTGAGGTGCAAAGCCTTAATTAATGACATTTGACTTAAACAGTCCCACAGTGCCACAACCAAAGCAACTCCCCTGAACTACTTCCTGTTCCCAAGTCCCTAGCTAAGCCTCTCTTCAACTGCTCCCTCCCCCACAACAAACAAATCCTCTCTTTTAGTTAATACTTAAACTCTATTCATTTGAGCTTTACTCCTTTGGCCTCACTGTTTTAATTTCTCCTAAAATTAAAATGCTCTTTGCACTATTATTAATCATCTACACTGTACTGTGATGGGAGAATCTAAACAATAATTTCGATAGACTCTGAGAGCAAATTAACTGTTATTGACCTCTTTGAGAATAAATCAACTGTTATTGCTCACTTACATGTTAAAAGCTTTGGACTGAACACTTTTCTAAAGGCACTATATATATATATATATAATATATATATATACTATATATATATATGAATTTTAAGTCTCACAGTAATTCTGCCAAGTAGAATTCTCTATTTTATAGAAGAAAAAATTAGGTTCAGAAGTTAGGAAAGATTTACACCACCTATAAGTGGCAGCCAGAATCTAAACTCATGTGTGTCTGTCAGAAGCCAAAGGTAGGGCCACAATTTTGCCTGGACCTAAAATGGTACATGCAAGTTCTTATTTTGGATGGTAGTAGGAACACAGTAGATGGATTAGAATGAGACATCTGGGGGAAGATTAGCTTGGGGCCGTGGTAGAGGGAACACAAGAATAAAAGAAAATAGAATGAGAGAAGTGAAACATGAGGAAAAGTACATCTACTCATTTAAGAACATTAATTGAGTGACTACTTAGAGGAAGACACTGTACTAAATCTGGGCATAGAGAGAGGCAAAAGCCTTCCCTCGGAGTTCAGGCAAGAACTGAGATGGCAAGCTCAGTAACCAGCAGACCAAGGACAGCCTGCAAATGATGGGCCCATTCAGAGACAGCCTACTCAGAGTTTGTTAAATGTTTAATTAGTTTCCCACACTTTTTGATATTTTTTCAAATAAATGGTGCATGTCCATGAGACAAACTTCAAAAAGTAACAGACGAAATACAGTGAAAAGAAAGTACCTTCCCAGTGCTACCTCCCAAACATTATTCCCCTTCACAGAGAGAAGTCTTGCTTTTAGTTTCATTTATATTCTTCTGGAGATGTTCTTTAAGATTAAATATATACATGTTCTTTAAAAAATTAAAAAAACAAGCCAAGCACAGTGGCGCACACCTGTAGTCCCAACTACTCATGAGGCTGAGGCTGGAGGATCACTTGAGCTCAGGGGTTCAAGGCTGAGGCTGGAGGGTGCTATGATCACATATGTAAATAATCACAGAACTCCAGCCTGGGCAACAAAGCTAGACCTCATCTCTAAAAAAATAAAAAGACAAATAGTAACATACAATATAAACTGTTTATTCTACATCTTGCTTTTCTTACCAATACTTGTCATGTCAGTACATCTAGAGCTGCCTCCATTTCATCCCAATGGCTACATAACATTCCATTGTATTGATGTGCTGTAAGTTATTTAACCAGTTTCCTTTTGATGGACATTTAGGTTGTTTACAATATTTTAAGATTAGATAAGTGCTACAATGAATATTTTTATGCACATATCATTTTGCAAGTATGCAAGCATATTTGTAGGGTAAGTTCACAGAGGTAGAATTGCTGAGTCAAGGAATATGTGCATTTGTAAATACTTAATTTTGACAGACTTTGCCAAAATGCTCTCCATAGAGGCATTTCCAACTCGCATTCCTACCAGTAACATATGAGACCACCTATTTCCCCATACCACACAATCTGACCTTAGCCAATCTGTAGGCGGAATACAGTGTTTTTACAGTTCTTATTTAAATTGCCAATATTTTTAAATGCAGGATATTTCATTTAAAAACAAAAAAGGATTTCCAACTTTTCTTAGAAAATATGAAAGTCTGGCAACTCTGGACCTGCTTTCCACATGGTTAACAGCTGATCAGTGACTACTCTCTGTACACCAGGTATGTGCACTCCTGTTGTCCCCCACTCAATTTCATCTTCATTCCTCACATTGAAACCAGTAGCCAGTTACCATTTATCATCTTCCAATACAGCCCCACTTACTAATCTATATTATCTCACTGGCCTTAGATATTTGATTTTTCAACTGGTCTAGAGAGAGATCAATAATAAGGGAGAAAACAAATGAAGACAGAAGATAAGGTAAAAAGATAGAATAGGAGATAAATAGGAAAGAAAGATATGTTAACGTAGTTCATGAATAACAAATTTTAGGCTCTTCTGAATGATCTCCCATCCACCTGGAATTTTATAGTCCAGTAATATGCACGAACTTAACTCAACATTGAATAACTTTATGCCTCTGGCACAAACATCCCAGAGTAACTTTGAGAATCTTTGGGACAAGTCTGGATTTGAATCTAATCTTAACAACAAAATCTTGGCCCTGACCTTATAGAGTGCAAATGTTTCCTTTATACCCAGGTACAGGGTATAAGCCTTATATTGCTTCATTTTCTTACATCAAATTACATTTGGAGTCATGCCCACACTCACCAGGGAAGTAAAAACAGCAGGTATTAGCCATTATGGGGAGGCAGGAGAGAAGGCTCTCCCTGGGGTGGATTGATGCTGTCCTGATAAGTTGGAGAAAGACTCTAGTCTGTGTTCTGTCATCATCTAAACCTGTGACATCCACAGAAGACCAGCAGCCCCCTTCATGGCGATTATGAGCACAGGGAACTATTGTCATAATTCTCAACACTACAGCATCCATGCCCCTTCTGTGGAGAGTCCCTCTTACTTCCACCCTTGGCTAATCAAGGGGCAGTGTGCCCCCCGAGTCACTACACCTCTGGGGAGCTACCTGGTGGAGATAGACCACACTCATCTGTTCAACTCCAAAATCCAGTTTTGATTCTTTCCTCCTCTGAGATAATCTAGTTTACTTTTCTCCTGCTAAACTAGAGGCAGAGGCCAGGCACGGTGGCTCACGCCTGTAATCCTGGCACTCTGGAAGGCCAAGGCAAGAGGATCCCTTGAGGTCGGGAGTTCAAGCCAAGCCTGAGCAAGAGTGAGACCCCGTTTCTACAAAAAATAGAAAAAATTAGCTGGCCTGGTGGCGCGTGCAGTAGTCCCAGCTACTCAGGAGGCTGAGGCAGGAGGATTGCTTTGGCCCAAGAGTAAGAGCAAGACCCTGTCTCAAAAAAAAAGAAAAAAAACCTCAGCAGTGTGGTGGCTCACTCCTGTAATCCTAGCAGTCTGGGAGGCTAAGGTGGGAGGATCGCTCAAGGTCAGGAGTTCGAAACCAGCCTGAGCAAGAGGGAGACCCCATCTCTACTAAAAAAAAAAAAGAAAGAAAGAAAGAAATTAATTAGCCAACTAAAAATATATAGAAAAAATTAGCCGGGCATGGTGGCACATGCCTGTAGTCCCAGCTAGTCAGGAGGCTGAGGCAGAAGGATTGCTTGAGCCCAGGAGTTTGAGGTTGCTGTGAGCTAGGCTGACACCATGGCACTCTAGCCCAGGCAACAGAGTGAGACTCTGTCTCGAAAAAAAAAAAACACACACACACACAAAAAAAACCCCAAAACTCAGCAACTGAAAATTTTGCTCATTGCCTGTTTCTCCCAATATCTTTTGACATTTCTAATAAATAATCTGAAGCTTTGAGACTAAAAGGGAAGAAGGCATTTTTCCAATGCCTAAAATTAAATACAATATTATATTTAAACTAGTTTTAGTTATAAAATCATTTGACTTTCCAAAGTCCATTTATTGTGACTGCCTCAGAGATAAGTGTAGAGAGTAGGAATCGTGATTGATCGTTCACATTTCATGTAGGAGAACAGTCAAGCCTCTATAAAAACTTGACTTTGCCCTGTCAAGTGTGTGCTTGCATCCAGAATTCAAACTTAGGGAATACAATTAAGCTGCATTTGCACGAAAAGAGTCTTGAACAAGGCATTTAGTATTGTGATGAGTGGCTTTTGCACTTATTTCATGCAAAATAGCTACAGATAAATAATTTGTACAAAGTAGAGTTTTCCAGAAATAAAGTTGTTCTTAAATGAGAGTGATGTCATAATAAAGTCATACATCCAGGACAATTGCCCAACATGTGGTCTGTGAAAATTAAGCTCACTGTAGGCTTTATGCAATGAGTCACCATAGTTACAGTCACTGGACAATGTTTTCAATGAAATTTTGAAAAGACTTTTCAATTCATAGAAATCTTTGGCACCTTTTATACACAACATTGCAGATTTCTCCATGACCCACTTTTTTTGTTGTTTTGTTTTGTTTTGGGTAGATTCTCCAGAATTCCCCAGGGGGGAGGGAGAATAGATCTTCCCTTCACCGTCCCATGCTGCTTCTTCTCTGTTCTTTCTCTGTCCTTCTGACACCATTTGCTTCCTACTGTTGTATTCCTCATATCCTACCTGTTTAAGAGAGATGTTATGGTTTCGTTATCAACAAACAAATAAGACCAAAAAAACAAATT